AAGGATTATTGTACCAAGATTTGCTTGGCCCTCAGACACGTGAAATATATATATATATTCGTCACAACAACCTTGTTTGCAACGCCGGGTGACCATTGGATAGGCAGCTCTTTCAGAGCCAGTCCAATGAAGAACCAATGCTATGATTCGATGTTTTGTAAATGGGTTAGATGCTACTAACCGCAACAAACGTGACCTGATGGTCTTGGTAGAATACTTGATAATATGTAGTATGTGAATGACTGGACAAAATTTCCCTGGAAGTATACGACCGGTTTCGCGGTGCTTGCCGCTTGTCAGGCATGCGTATCCGGTAATCTTTTGTCAGTTCATTCATATACTTGTACCCGGTACCGGGAGCCGGTAGACGACAACCGGGCACTCACGATGCGTCCTAACTGGCGATGCTTAGCTATATGAATTCGATCTAATAACGAATTCTCTATCGAATCATTAATAAATACGCGGCGGCTCACCCCAGAGTTGATTGCAGGCTCGCTCCACTGAACCGGCACCAAACTAAGTAAATATCGACGGTAGAAGACTTCTAAACGATGAGTACCTTCCACAGGGAAATTTAGGGTCCCCGAACTGTGAGGTAGAACTGACCGCACACTGGCGCGGTAACTTTGACCTTTATCTTCAAGGAAATATCACTTTGGTACCCAAGTTGCTTCAGTCGCTGTCAGTGCCTTTGAAATTCTGGCCGTTACTTCCTTTGACGTACTACTGTGATTTATGACGCAACTACCTAAGTAGGCGAAACAATACATTCTACCCAATTGTTAACCGCCAAGCATGAGAGCCGGGGTAGATGACACGCAGTCTTGTAGCATCTCTTTGAAGGTGCAAAGCAGAAAACTTAAAAATATGTTAAGGGCAGCTCGCATATTCTCCATACATTTGAGGAGATATTGTCTGCCAACTCTAAGCCGCTTCACTTTTCCAGCTGCCTATTCAATACCCACTTTTTGCAAACCCTGGCTGGTTTTTCGTCCCCACAAATTAGCAGAAAACCGCCACTGGAAGTAAGTACGGCTACCTATGCCGTATCATCTGATTTCTAAGGAGCGTTTTGCGGGGGAGGCTGACCGATCACATTCCTTAAAAGTATGCGTTACGCATTGAGGATAGGCATGTTTCTATGGAAACGGCAGCGCTCTGCCATGTTCGCTTCTTGCCTTTTTATTTACTCTTACAGGATCGGAAAGTTACGGAGACAACATTCTCGGTAGTGATTTAAATTTTTAGCCACATGAGTAATCCTCGTTCTTTGTCCCCGACTTAGAAAGCGTGAAGCACCAACCAACGTCAATATGGAAGCTAAATTTTTCATACCCCCAACGGAAAGTCACAAGCTGAGCGCCGCATCGCTTCTCTCAGCCCTGCTCTTCACATACAATAGGGTACGAGGAGTTAGACGGCAATTAAGTGTACCGAATACGTGATCGAGTTATTGGAGGTGTTAGGACGCGGAGCCTAGGCAACCCGTCCGATTGCGCACGCCTCCGAGTCCGGCCACACGCACGCTCGCAACGCTCCAGACAGGCTGAACCTGATTGGATGATCACAGAACGTGTCAGCCAATGTTTATCCAATCGATCAATCGATACGTCAAGGACACAATCTGATTGGTGCGTCACTGCGCCGTTCTCGAATGCACGGTTAGTCTATGTTTTGCGTATCGATAACTCAGCAGCATACACACTGACTGTGTCTCAACCTTTGTTCTCTCTCCGCGTTGTCGTTGAGGGTTAAGCAAGAGTCGCTCGTGTCATCCGTACGCCTAGACCAAACACAACTGGAGGTGGCGTGGAACGACCTACTGCTCTTTAAGACAACAACACCCAACACAGAATGACTAACTTCTTCATTGCTTCCCCTATGTCCAAGCCAGACATAGACAGTGCTTCGAAAAAGTAGGTGACCGAATGCAGTGTAAAGACCACGTTTTGTAAATCTAAAGCGAAGCACTACGAATCGCGGTGATGTACCCTTCTCTCAAGGAAAAGTCTGGTGATGGCACAGATTTGCGAAAGCTGCTCTAGATCCCGATGTTCACGGCGAGATCTCTTCCCCAACATCAACTCCAGAAGCGACCAAGTACTTGAAATTCCCAACGATTTCTAGCTGGTCATCACTAAGGGTGTGCCTAGGCGCAAGTTCCTGCCAGTCTTGCACAAGCTTTCTGCATTCGGTTGGTGTGAAGCTCACAATATCTGTACATCAAGAAAAACCAGAGCACGGTGCCTTCATTTATCTGCTGATAACGTGCGGTATGGCGTTCGGATATTTGTAGCATGTGCCGAGCCACCTCAGATGACAGTCAAATAGCGCCACCCTACGGGTGACTACTTACCGCTCAAACGCCTTCTGACATCGCTACATAAACGATTTTCTCAGCATACACAGCTGATGCCGCATAAACAACAGCTGTCGGAAACAGGTAGTCGTTGAACATCATCTGCTGGGAGCTGTCTTTTTGTAACCGTGGAAGAACACAGACCGGTGTGCTGAATATAATTATTCAGTGAATAGCGAATATGTCTTGAAATTGATCATATGTTGATGGATCTCGCCAATATCAGCTGTTACGGATATCTCGGGGTGCGCAGAGGTTTCGATCACGTCTAGAGACTCAAAACGACAAACGAGGATGTGCAGGATTCTACCAAGCGGCTCAGTTTTAAATCGTCCGTGAAGGCGAACGAACAGGTAAGACTAACTGGTCGATCAATGATTGGAAATGCGAGTGAAAACTCACCACACATCGTAGCCTAACTCAAGATCTGACAGTAAAGTTCTCGTTAAGATCGCAACACGTCTCGGGTCATCGAGAAGAACATAGGCATTTGGGATGGAACTTTTTTCCTATTCGAAGAAATAACATAAATAGTTCAACTTTTACAAAGTCCTAAAACACAAAGAAGAGTGAATGTAAGAAGTCGATGATTCGAACTCACTTAGCTAACGATGAATCGCTTCGAGCGACAGGAAATCGATTAACAAGTCAATACAAATTGGACAATCGTATTTCAGTATATTCACAGCACCAGTGCAAAGTGAAACAAAACAAGGGACCGGGGGGTGGGCGTTCCGGAATAACATGGGAAAATGATGGTAAATGAATGTACAAAATGGGTTAGTGTATGCAAACGCCAACTGTAGCGGAGATCAGGCGGAAATAGGTGGTTCGTTTAATTCCAAATTGCGGAATTTTTCCGCATCGTAGAATCCGGCTTTCACTACCCGCCCGGCAAAGAAACGACCGTTCAGATCGAGCACAGCTGCGCAGAGAAAGGAAGAGGGAAATATAATATGATGAGATGTAAATTCTTCTGCGCACATTCAGCACTTCAATATGTTGGAAAGAAGAACAGACACATGATACTCGAGCAGAAGTCATCTGTAGGCGGTAGACAATCCAAACAATTCAAGCGACGGTTCACCTCAGTAGAAGAAAAGGTAGCATGATGTTCCCGGATCACATTTCAAATCCACAAGGGCGGAAGTTATATGCCGAATAAGCAGTTCGGTTTTAGTTTGTATAACCATTACCTATGCCCTTTCGTGCGTCGGTTTTGATTGCCATCTTTTAGCTGCCCATTCGGATGAAGTGTACGAGGATGACAGGGATATGGACAGTAGAGTCAAAGAGAAGGAGAATTTCAGTGAACTAACGTTGCAAAGAAATTGAGCTGTACGAACGCCACCGTTTACGACACAGCCATATTAATCACTGCCTGTAACCAGTGCCCGATGTCAAACATGGCACACTTGCTAGACGAGACATGGGTCATTAATCAGAAGAGGTAAACATTTATTCACCGGAAGATTAAAAATCCCCTAAGGAAAAATCCTCTGGAAGGTTTTTTCAAGGTAATTAATATACAAACATTTTGAAAGTGTGTGAAAGTGGTATATGACTGGTTTTGGAGTAGAATATTAGGGGGTTTACTAGTGGGGTGTTGAATGCAACATGAAGCCAGTGAATTGAATCGAACTTTAACCAACCCCGTGATATTTTATTTTATCTTCACATGCCTGACGATGTGTCAAACAATAATCTCCATAAAAAGGTCCGTGATTTTCTCGAGAGCAAGTTAATTCTACGGTGCCCAGGCCAAAATGGATAAACTTTTGTGGAGAATTCACAACTAGAACCTTCGACTAGTCAAATCTTGATCTACAAGGCGGTAGGGTGGTGTGCGAAAACCGCAATCTATTGGGGGTTGTTGTCCAGTTGATTAGATCATACGCCCTTCGGACGAAGTGAAACGTCCAAGGTGCCCAATACACCTCGAAACCAAATCCAGCCACTACTACGACCGGGAGAGTGTGTGCGGTT